ACCCCCCCCCCAACAAAAACACAAGAATGTGCCTCAAGTCCAATATATGGCAAACATTGAGTTCTTGGTACCCATAAATAGAGCACACTTTCCCGCATCCGTTGATAGAATACATGCCAATATTATAGACCTAAGTCCATGTTTTTTGACGTTCTTCTCCGTAAGCACAGTTTCGTTCTCAGATCTCAAATCGTGACTGAGAAAAACAAACACGTACGATATTGGACAATCTGAGCATATTATTATAATGTTTTAGACTTGGACACGGTTTGAGAAATTTGTAACTTTCTGCGAGATATAGACTTCAAATGACGCAATGACATCATTTTGTTTCGAAAACAAACAGCTTTGTTCGAAACCTGCCGATCCATAACTTCGGATCCTAGTAACTGACATCAAAAGCCACAACAACAATAGAAAAAGAAGAGCTTTTATAACTGAAAAAATACAGTTCTGCCACCAGGTAGTTGAGGTAGGTACCTGGACTGTCAACACTGTCTTTTTATTAAACTGTTTTCTTCTCTGTACGATCTACAGAATCTCTACCTTACAAATACAAAGTTCTGTCTGGCACAAATCAGGCCGTTTTGAGTTAACAGTTTGTAGTGTGAGGTAAAAAATCCAATGATCTACCTGCTCTATCAAAATCGTAAGATTATCTGGAGACGCTATCAAAATATTCAAAGAATTGCATAAAAATTTTTGTTGAAACTAAGCATTTTAAACTTCAAATTGATCAAAACTAGGTACTGAGCAGACAGAACTTTGTTATTCTAGGGTAGCAAAATGTTGAAATTCTGTTTGCATGAATCGGGTTACATGTACTTGTAGTACACTTTTTGGGTTTAGGAAAAGTCACGAGCCTCGGTTTTTCACGACCATGAAGCTCTTGTGGAGTCCGCTGTGGACTGTGGGGAGATGGGAATGTTGAGAGGAGAGGCCTCCCTCGCGAGATGGAAGCAATGAAGACAATACCGCTGTGCGACTCACGAACATTTCCGATCAATGGACTCAAAAAAATTCGCTTGAGTTTTCACAAAAAACTTAGAGGCTCAAACAAGAGAAGAGAAGAAACCGTATAAAGGCTGAGGCAAAGAGGTTATCTATAGTACCATTTATAACCTCAGTGAGTTGAAACAAAAGGAACATTGAATTTGAAAGTGGGAAAAGGGACATTTTTAGAAAAAGAAAAGAAAACAAACAAAGCACAAACCATAATATCTGAAAATAGTGAAAGACGGAAAAGGGGGGAAGGAAAAACTGAAAAGACGTGCGAAATCTGGCTACTGTGCCTACGAATAAACCAAAAAAAAATAAAAAAATACCAAACCAAACTGACAAGAACCCAAAACTAAGCAAATTTGTGTGACAATCCTTCTCACCTTGGGGTAATTGGGTACATCCTTTTTCAGGCTGATCTTCGTCTCGTCAGAGATCGGGGTGCTAGAGGAAGGGTCAAAGGGTTAAGGGGTCAAGAAGTCAGGAGGTTAGGAAGTTGGAGGGTAAGAGTAGGTTTATGGGAGGTAAACGGTTAGGAGAGCAAGACTAAAAGAGAAGGGTTTTGGGTGGCTTGGGC